AAACCGTGTTCTATCTGCAGTACAAAAAAAATTATTTAATATTTTGCTATATGTTTTTTTATAACTATAACACATAAACTCACAATTGTAATAACGATGAAAGATACAATTTATAATTCTACATGTAAACTACGAAATACTCCCACCGTCTTATTTTATAAAATATTTGAAAAAAATTATTAGTTTAAAATATAAAATATTTTAATCAAAATAAAATTTTATTTATAAAATTTGATACATAACTAAGAAAACCAATCATTGACAAGGACTAAAAATACAGTGTTCAAGCAAACTTTTTGATAATGTTAGTTCATGATACAACTTTTATCAGCATATTGTTGCCTTTAGCATGGCATTAGCATCTAACCTTTTTCTTTTTTCTGTGTCTTCATTATCTTTTCTTTTGGCTATGACATGCTTTATAACAATTATAAGTGGTCATTGATTGGCTATATACTAATAAAATTATGCCAAGTCACAGTTTGTAATTCCTTCCAAGGATGAATTAGAGACTATTAGGAAAATTGACTTTTTCTGCTTTAATTAATTTCGAGATGTTTTGAAGATTAGAATTTTATTTTGAAATTAAAGAAGATTCTACTTGTAATATCAACCAAAATCTTTCTTTAAGTTCACCATCTTCTTCTACGGTGCAGTTTATTCACAACATTTTAGCTCATATATCTGATCTTCAGTGCAAAATTAATCAATATACATGTCTGTGTAATCTGATTTCTCATGGCAACTATTGAAAAAGCTTGAGACCCAATAAAGATTGGATGTGTGAACGCTGCTGATCGTGCACACATAAACAAGGGCAATAAATGGTCTATACTAGGACATTTATGTTTAGTATAATAAAAATATAAATAATACCTCAAATAAATAATAAAAATAGTTATGCAATAAAAAAATTGTATGATAGATAATGAGTATTTCACGAGTAAAATGCACATGCAATTTTAAAAACTTGATATGAAATAGTGAATTTTCTGGGCTACAAGAAAATATTCTCTTATAATAAATCAAACATGAAATTATCATATATTTGAGACTGAAATTCTCGAAACTTAACATCTACTCTGACTCACCATTTGCCCTTTACATCTAGCCCTACTCATTACACTCATTTAGTGTAAAAAATAGACCTCGTGGATCGCACGAGTCAAAAGCTAGTTCCTTTGAAATTACGGTTGCGTGTACAATGAAAACACTGTCATTTTTACAGTACAAAACATTATTTAATAATTTTTCATATTTATAACACAAAAACTCAGAATTGTGTACGCGGTTGAAGATATTATTCTGACCGACTTTATTTATAAATTATTTTTACTAATCTTATCAATATCAATATAATAACAATATAAATAATAAAATTTAGTAAAATTATAAACATAATTTTTAAAAAGTAAATAAATTATATAATATTATTTTTTTTCCTATTTTTTAAAAATAGTTTAGATATTTTATTTAAAACAAAACATTATTATCAATCCAATGACTTCACCCTTTTAAAAGGTGACCAATAAAGTGAATCAAAGAGAGTATAATTTATAACGAGTAAAGTAACAAATCTAGTCACATGTTATTTTTTCAAGAGTATCTAGTAGTCTAAATGATAGATGGTGAAAATAAATCATGAATTTTTAAAAATAAAGCATCTAGTAGCCCGGACAGACGTTATGTAGGCCTCACAATGACATGTGAAACTCCACATCAGTAGGTATAAAAAAACAAATATAACTATAAACTATTTTTCAAAGAGCACTGAATATCTTTTATTATAAAAAAACAGACCATCCATCGCTCTTTCATCAATTTTGCCTAAACAATATTTATTTTTATATTTATAAGACTCACAACACATCAATATTTTCAATATTCTTCCCTTTATTCTCAATCTCAGCTCAAGAAAAAGGGGTTTAAAGAATTTTTATATGAAAGAATTTACGAGAATGATACTAATAAAGTATAAGTTTGATTTTACTATGCATGAAAAAATTTAATTCTAGCTTAATTTAGTCACAAATTATTTTTTCTACTTTGTTGGTGTTGTCTTCATGAATGTCTTCAAATAAAAATTTTTTAAATTTTTTCTTTTCGAGTTGAAATTGAGAACAAAAGCAAGAAAATTAAAAAGATTGATACATTGTGGGTTTTATAAGTTTGAAAATAAATGATATTTGGTCAAATTTGATGATAAGGTGTTGGATTGTTTTTTTTTATAATAGAGGCTAGCAATGCTTATAGAAAAATAGTTCATAACTAAATTTATACATTTATATATGCTAACATGGAGTGCTACATGTCATTGTAGGCCCCACAAAAAATTCGTCCGCTGAAATTAACGACAGGCTATTCCGTTTTTAAAATTTCATAATTTATATCACACAGTTTAATAGTTTAGGTTATTAGATACTTCCATTGTGTCTACTTATGTGGTCAAATTTACACATTTATCCATTTATGATTATGTATGTAAATTATGAAATACTCCCTTTTTCCTATTTTATAGGAGATTTTGTGAAAGATTTGCTATTCTAAAATATAAAATATTTTAATAAAAATAAAATTTTATTAATAATATTTATCCTTCCTACTATATTCTCTCTCTTTAATTTTTTTCACAAATGAATTATTAAATTAAATATATTTTTAAAAATTTATATTTTTATTTTAAAAAATAAAATTATAAAATATATTTAATAATTTTTATGAGAGGTGAAATTTTATTTAGAAGTATGGCCTCAACTGTGGTTATGCGGTACAATTACAAACCTATCATTTATCCTATTACTTTACATTTCCTCCTCTTTTGTCATTCATTTTTGCTGAAACTGGGCTATAACTTAACATGGACACGTGGTTATCAATAAAATTACATCCTTTGGCCCATTATCAATAAAAAAAAGTTCCTCTCTTTTGAACTTCTTTGGCTCATTATATACTCCCCTCTTTAAAAAATATAAAATATTTTTAATTAAATCTCACATTTAATAAAATAGTTAAATTAATTCTGTCTTTTTATATTTATTTTATTAAATATTTGACAATAAATATAAAGTCATTCATTAATAGGGGCACTTTTGAAAAAAATAATAGTTACATTTTAAAATATTAAAAATATCTTATATTTTTAAACATTTAACTCATAAAAAATATCTTATATTTTTTTAAAATAGAAGAAGCTAATTTTAAAAATAAATTTATTTTAAAAAAATAAGACGGTGTGAGTATATGTTTGCCTCTTCCACCCAAAACCATCCACCTTTCACCTCACTTGAATGTTTGCCAAATTTGTTGCCCGAAACGGATTGAATTATATCAAATTTAAGTTTAGAGACTAAATTATAAAGATTGAATTATTGTTATTTTTAATAAAACAAGATGTTTGTATTTTTTTTCTGTTCGGGAGTAGAAAATGATAAGAAAATAACTCATAATGCCTTTGCCGCAAGGGCAATAAATCTTATCAGTGACTTTTTTTTTTAAAAGCAATATTTATTTTGACGGAATATATATATATATTATTTAAAATGACCTTTTTGTAATGACTTATGAACAGTTAAAGCTACATGATCTCTTAAACCATTATTACGCGGTAAAAGTTTTTGGCTTAAAATTCATGAGCCATAAAGTTGGGGTTTTAAAATTTAATGGAAGTAAAAGTATATCTAAGTTTTGGCACTATCAGCCATAAAGTTTTATACGGAAGAGGAAATTACGAATTATAATATTTTCGGTTAAGTTTAACATATTATAAGCTTTTCAAATGGGTTCAATCTTTATTGATTTATGTTTAGTAATAAAATGTTTTATAATTTTATAAATTAATTATGCATATGTATCGACAATCCAAATTTAATATTAATTTTTTAAACTTTTATTTTGATGATTATAATTTTAAAAATACTTAAAAATTAACTTGAAATGAAAGGTATGGATCATTTAGAAATAAAATGGAAGGCCTAGATTAGCACATTAATATATGAGCACCAAATGTAGACTCCACAATTTTAAGAAAAAATTACATATAGATCTCATGAAATAAATTTATTTATAAATAAATCTTATAAAATTCAAAAATCACAACTAAATCCTTTAGGACTTAAGTGTAGTTTGAAATTGAAATAAAAAACAATAATGCACATATTAAATACACACACATTAGACCAGTCAAATAATTTATAACTATTTCATCAGAATTTTACAACTATAACTTTTATTTTTTACAGCTTTAACTTCACATATCTAATAATTAAATTAATCAGTTCAACTATTAAATATGTAAAGTTATAATTGTAAAAAGTTATAATTATAAATTACGAATAAAATACTTGCAAATAATTAATATTAAACTTTGTTAATAACATATACTTGTTTAACAGTTATAAAAAGTTAAAATTATAATTATAAATTGTTAATGAAATAATTATAAATTAATTATTTGATTCATGCAATATATGTTTAATAAAGGTATTGTTGTCTTTGTAGCCTAATTTCAAATTACACTCAAGTCCCAAAGAACCTGGCTAAGATTTTTAAATTTTGCGGGACTTATTAGTAAATAAGTCTGCTTCACGAGATCTATACATAATTTTTCCATTAATTAAACATATCAAATATTAAGTACCCAAAATAGCACACATGATATAAGCATGGGAAGGAAAATTTAGTTGTGCACATTCACATTTAAACACCTCAACAAAGGGAAAATTCATATCCCAAAAGTACTTTTAGTTAACTCCCAATTCGTAAGCAAGGATAAGCAAACAGTCAAATGCCTACGAAGTTAACATGAACAATCCCTTGATTCAATACTTCTGTTTCCAGAATTGCATTCACATTTAACACTAAAGATTATATTCCCAAATGCATCCTCGGGACAGAATCAAAATGCAGTTAAGAAATATGAAAATCAACTCGATGTTACTTTGGCAAACACCCAAAAAAGAAAAAAAGACACTAGATGATACTCAATGATCTAGAAAGGCATCTTTGATGGGGCAGAGGAATATATTCAAAATATAAGTGCTAATCAGCTACTTTCACTTCTGCCCAATTAAAAGTTCCAAAGTACAAAAATAACAGGCATTTCATCACCAAGATTAACCACCAATTCCCTTCCAGAAATCAAGATTCATATTTGACAAGGTAGAAATGCCATCAGATTCTTCCTATGGCTCTAGATTACACATTACACATTCACAACCCCTTCTTAATAGGCACTTTCAAAAAACAAATAGCAATTATTCTCTTCAATTAACTGCTAAGCCGATTGAAAATACAGATTCTGGTGACATACCTAGAAGGGTCAACAGAATTAGAAAAAGACACCCTTAAAACAACGCAATAATGTTTTATGGAGTGGGAGTGTCATCTTCACCATCATCGTTATCGTTGTCATCTTTAACCGGCTTCTCTTGATTCAAGATACGCCCAGTTAGAGCATCCACAGGGCGAGTATCACGTGGTCCACCTTTACGCCCCATAGCCACCATTGGTGGTGGAGGCAATAACCCTGCTCGGAATAGAAGACGCTGTACCGGCTCTGAAGGTTGGGCTCCAACAGAAAGCCAATACCTGGGGAAGAAGGCAATAGAAGTTAATGCTGTCAGAATAGCAATTAACAATTATGTTCCAATGGATGAAGTTGGGCTAATAGCCAATCAACTGCTTAAATCAACAATGATATGCGTGTTAGAAATCTAAACAACCGTTGAAAAAAAGAGGAATGCTTACTTTACTCTTTCAAAGTTTAGACCCATTCTTTTTGCATTATCCTGCCCTGTTCGAAAGTAATACAAGTTGAAAAGAATCAAATGATATCATTTGAGCCATGTATGAACTTCATTGCTAAACAATGAAGACAACAGACTAACAGATATAACTAGACGTTCGCAGCAACTTTCTCTGGGGCTAGAGTGTATTAAATTCATGAGGGGAAAGCAACAAACAATGTCACCACCAGTCCACCATCAAAGACATTGCCTGGGTTTGGGTAAGCTAACTCCTTGAGTTACAATTTCAGTTTTTTTTTTAAATATCTAGTGGCATTCGTAAATCAGATTCTTATTCCAATAACTCGTTGAAAGCTAACGCTAACCCTATTCATTATCAGAAAAAAGTGGAGTAAAAACATCTCATTGATCCACTATCATTGTGTGCACCTACCAATACACCATAATCTATCTTAGTGGACACCAAAAACAACTCTGCGGAGATATAAATTAAAATCTGGTAACAAGTATAGCTTTATTTCCAACAAAATAATTTTGATAACGCTTCAAGTCCATCTACCATAAGCATTTAGGTTTCGCACTTAGGAATTGGATTGCCTTGAGCCTAAAATACCGCTCATATTGACGACTTTCTCTTCCTTTTCCACACTTTCTCGGAATTCAAACGGAAACAAGAGTGCTGCAGTTACCTCATACAAATGATACTTCCCCATACAACAACACAGATGGACATTCCAAAACAAAAAAAGGTGGAATAAGAGAGAAAAGAAGCGAGAACCTGGTAAGGGATTGTAGTAGCCTAAAACTTCGAGGTGTTTGCCATCTCTTGGGGATCTGCTATCCGCAGCCATGACCCGATAAAATGGCTTGTTCTTGCACCCAAACCTTGATAATCGAATTCTTACCACCATTTTTGACCTCTGTTTGTGTTGGCGAGGAACCCGACCTTATTCCAGCAATCACTTCGCGTTTTGATAGACGATAGGCTTCTTGGGTTTTACCCTTGCGTTTAATCAGATTCGGTGTCGTCCATCGGCCGCTAAAATTCAAAACGACAAGAAAACGATATAAGTATCAAAGCAAATGGCTATGAATAAATTTTAAAAAAATTAATTATTTGATCCTTAAAATTTCACAAAATTTAAACCTCAGTCCTTGACAAGTTCCTAAAATTTGATTTCTATCTCCATCCATCCTTGCTTTTCCATAAACCGCTTCAGGTCTCAATAAATTGTCAATTGTGGCACTTACTGCGTATGCTGAGATGTTGTCATCTTTTTAAGTTTCATGCCATTTTGAAGGATAGGAAAAAATAAAAAATAAAATCATACATAAGCAAGAGAAATTTCTTCACAAGTAGATTTCTGAAATATGCAATATGTCAGTGAAATTTCTTTTTTCAGTGTGATTACGAAGTAGCATTTTTCCTTGCTGAAAGAAATTTTGTTAAATAGATTTAATTTACAGTAATTGAAAATAGCCTAATGTAGAAATATTGTAAGGAATGAGTTATAAACTCATTAAAATTGTATGGATCAAATATTTATTTTTTTCATAAATTTGTTTATAACTTTTATTGATATGTTAGACTCACACTTGTTAGATGTAAAAAAAGTGATTAAAATATAACATTGGAAATAACAATACCAAAGACATTACATCTTTTCCCCTCTAAAGATATATATTACATTTTTTTTTTTTTTGGGTTAGAGCACCCAATATTTTGGGAATGTCCTACATGGAATTTGAGAAGATTTTGATAGAGCTCAAACTAATCCAAATCAAGCTAAGAGGAGCCCTATATCAAATGTATTTTTTGAAATAAACATTAGACGTATTTCTATCTTATATGAAATTTGAATGAGCTGCACTTTTCATGAATTGTGAATTGTGCAATTTGCTATAAATTTTATATCCTATATATTGTTTGGCAAACTAATTATTTTATTTTATATTAGTTATAAAAAAACCAAGTTTTTAATTCCAGATCCAGGCTTTAATTCCCAAACGCCGCATACATTTGTATAATCCAAACCAAGGAAGAGAAAAACTAAATGTTCTTTGATCTGCTTCTCAAAGTTAACACTATGAGGCTATGAGCAATAAGGTTTAACATCCCAAATACAATAAGTTTGTTGGACATAATTTGATATTTATATTTGTGTTCCACCAAGTTTAGATGAATAAGAACAAAACTAAGGTTTGATTCTTCAAGCATGTGCATTTCTCCAGAGGATATGAGATGAGTAAGAGATTGGGTGTTGGCATGACTAGTGACCTTGGTAAATACTTAAACATTCCTCTTATACATAGAAGAGCCTCTTGTATGTTGTTTGGACTAATATTGGAAAAAACTCAAAAAAGATTGTCTAGCAAGAAGGATAGATCTCTAACCATGGTTGGACATACAACTCTGATAAAAGTTATTTTATTAGCTCTTCCCACTTATTAAATGCAAACTATGACCTCGTCAAGAAGGATTTTGAATGAATTGGAGAAAAAGAGTAGCCACTTTTTATGGGATGGGAATGATGAGAACAAAAGAATTCACCTTGTTTCTTAGGATACTATTATTGAAAGCAAAAAATAGGGTGGCTTGGGGATAAAAAATTTATAGAAACATAATGAAGCCCTTATGATGAAACTTTGTTGGAATCTCTTTTGTAATAGGGATGCTCTTTAGGTGCAAGCTCTGAAATCAAAGTACAGAAATGGAAATAATAGTATACCTAAAGTCACTAAATGATAAAATTTGTCATTCACTTTGAAAGGTATCTCTAATGTATGGGATAAATTCAAGGAAGGAATGGGGAAGAAAGTTAGGAATGGTAGCACTATAAACTTTTAGTTTGATAATTGGTCTATGATAGAGAAGGTTTGGTTGACAATGATAAGAGACTATGTTGATCAAGAAGGTTGTTGGGATTTACAAAAGCTGAATTATTGGTTCCAATCGAACATTGTTACCTACTTGACCTGTGCTTGCCTGACCTAGTGAGGAAAGAATAGAGGACAAACACTTTTAGAAACTATCTACTGACATATGTTTTACTATTAAATTTGCTCATTCTTTTTTTTTTTTTTGTAAGTATGAGAAGGAGAACGGATAATATTTGGAAGATGATCTAAAGATGGCCTATAGCGGAGAAAATTAAATCATTTATATAGCTGGAAGGATGCATGCATATAATCTCATTAGGTCACATATTCTTGATGTAATCTCATTTTAATTATGAATGCATTTTTTCAATAAAAGAAAAAAGTTTAGTTGAACCATTTTAGCCTCTCCCCTCTCTCATTTTCTTTTTTATTTTTTAAAAAGGAAGTAATTAACATTTTGATCTCTACTTCAAGGAAAAATTGTTAATAGAGTATATTATAGTTAATATTTTTAGAATCAAATTGGATATTAAATCAAAAAGGCTAGTGGTTCGCAGTTAGTATAGGTTAATTCAACTTGATTGGACTAATAATCGAATTGATGACGTAATAATTAAATTAAAAAAAATCATGTATACATACATAATAATTTAAATATAAAAAATAAATATGAAATTACTATTTAACTTAAATAAAACCAAATATTTTAAATTTATTATGATTTAACAAGTCATATGATATAACATAACATCAAAAGATTAAAAACTAGGTCATTTTGTAAAAACAAAAAAGGAATTTTTTTTAGCTGTCCAATTTTTAAGAACTAAATTCAATTCTCAATTTGAACCTGGCTTCAGATCCAAATGCTATTCTAAAGTGGTCTAATTCGATTTAACTCTCCAAACGATATTTCGGCCCAAACTGAACAATTAACAATTCTATTTGACAGTTTAATTGTTTGATTTGATTTGATTTTTAAATTATTAGTTATAGTTATCAATTTCAAAAAGATCATTATTTTCAAGGATCAAAGTGTCAATAATTTGTTTATAAGGGATCAAATATGTACGCCACCCCTACAGGAAAAAAAAAAGGATTATCTGACTCCTTTTGAGTTTGATTTTAAGGGTAACAAGCAAGGACAAGGCTTTTTATTTTCCTCAAAGAACCATTCATAAAGATCTTGTCTCCTCTTTTGCAATCAGATTATCTTTTTACTCAAAAGCATTGGCCATCGGTGGCCCAAAAAGAAAAGCATTGCCCATCCAATTACCATTTGATTTTTTTAACATTTTAATACACACACACACTTTTTCGTTAAAAAATATATAACTTTTTTAAAAATTAAATATTTAAAAATATAATTCATTTATATTATTTTAAATTATAATCATTAAATTTTTTAAAAAATATTTTTAATAAATAAATTATTTTATATTTATTTTAAAATAAAAATATTTTATTAAATGAAGTAAATATAAAATGATAGTATTTATTTAAAAATAAATATTTATTTTATTAAAAATAAATTTTAATTAAAAATATTTTACACCCTTGAGACGAGTATGTTACGAAAATTTCTCATCCAATGAGCAATCAACATCAAATTAATTTTCAGGACGATGGCTGTAATGTGAGTTACAAGCTTTTTGACTTCCATGGGACAACAGCACCCAGTCATCTGACAATACGTCCCTATGGCTTTCATTGTGTTATGTCACGTCTCTTTATCACTTTGAAATTTTACAATTGTCATCGGTGAACAATAAAAATACTTATTTATTTTTAATCTGTATTAGTGATACCTTGTTTATTTTTTATATTCAAAATAAGTAAAATACTTTGCTTGTCATGACATAATGCTTGCGAGTGCACGTGATTAGAGCACTAAGATAGGTGAAGGCATTTCTACATATTAGTTTCATCTACAACTAAGCCCCAATTGACCCCAAAAAAATATCTATATAACTAAGCCCAAGGCCCAAACTAAGAAAAGGCCACGAAGATTGATCTGACAGTGTTAATGCAAATATATATACACCCCAAAATATGTTCCAATTTTGTGATGAATGGGAATTCTTCACCTCACGTTTATGAAGCTGCCACTTCGATTGATAAACGGAAACATCCTCTGCAAGGGTGGGTTAAATTTAGTGTTGACGGTGCAGTATCTGTTAATTCAAACATGGCTGGTTGTGGAGGAGTGATCATGGATAGCGATGGTACTTGGATAGTGGGATTCTCTGCATCTGTTGGTCAGTGTAGTCCTTTTGAAGCTGAAGAATGAGCTGTTTATAAGAGCCTTTGTTTGGCATGGGATTTGGGTTTCAGGAAAATCATTATTGAACTTGACTCAAAAAATTTGGTGGATTTAATTAATAATTATTCCGAACACCATTATAGTGTAAGCCTTGCTTTCTTAGAGATTCAGCACCTACTCAAAGAAGCTGGTGAATAAAACATGGTAGCAAACTCCTTAGCAAAATTTGGCATTTCTAATTTAGCTCTTTGTAATTCGGCTCCCCCATTTCTGAGGGACTTAGTGCAAAAGAATTGTATGGGATTTAAATCCCCTAAATTTTCTTAATTTCTCTGTATTTGGGCTCTGCCCCCTTTTCTTTATCAAAACACAGACACACACACACACACACATTTACACAATCTTCTTGCAGTGTAATTAAACAAGCAAGATAAACTTGTATTACTGTAACTTGAATTGTTTCAGAGCAGTACACAATCAGGTAGAGGCAATGTGAAACTCATCCAAGAGCAAAAGTGAAACAAAATCTCTATGCCAAGTGTGTATGTGACATGTGATCTTCCTGTCATTCATCATCATCAGAAAAACTGAACTTCATTGAGTGGGATTGTAAATCAATCTGTCCTCCTCTGTATGTGCCACGTTTTTTCTTGGTCTTCTAGTGACGAAAGTCCCTGTGCATGTCAATTAGAAGGCATAAACGTAGTTCAGACTGAATAAAGATGCATGCATGCATATTAAGTGACTGTTAATCAATTCACTCTGATAAGTATCATCATGATTCACATAGACAGTAAAATAGTCTTTGAACTTGTCCATGGAACATAAATTCATCAAGCTCCATAAGCAAATTATAGTTTGTTAACAGAAGCAGCAATCTTGCAATGCTAGATTTGATACACAAGAATTTCAACACATGCACAAAACAGGAGTCTCACAAGTTTGAATGAATCAGTTCACAAGTATCTTACGTCCATTACACTCACCTGCCTCTAACTTGGCCCAGAATTTCTTCTGCTTCTGCATACTAAGAGATGAATCATCACATAATTGTATTGAGATATATAGCAGACTGCGGAAAGGGTATCAGTTTACCATACCTTTGCCCAATAAGAGTTATCCTGAAGCCTCTCATCAGCAAATACTACCTCATCTGCTTTTGCTCTTTGAAATGCGTTCCCTGGTTTTGACAGAAACTAAATTATCACAGCCAAGAAGATTGTAATAAACATCTAGCTTCAGCAGTGTTATTGGGATCATAAATTCTTATGAAAGAAAAAGCAAAGACATGAAATATCTTATATCAAGATTAGGAAATAACATTGTGTTCTAGTAAGGGGAAAAGAAAATCGAATAAATGAAACAACTTATAATAAAGGAAGAAAATATCTCAAGATATTAGTACGAACAAGTAGGGATTTATGATACTGGACACTTTCAATTGAAGGGAAACCAGAAAATTTTTTTCTTTTAGTAGGCCGAAAATCCATTCTGGGATTTGAACTGTGGTATTATAAGATCCAAGCCTCCACTAAACCAAGCCAATTTCATCCTGTATAAAGCAAATTTTCCCAGGGAAGTGATCATTTGAAAACAGGATAATTACATTAGTCGAGAACAATGGCAAAACATCAATGTAATTCTGTTACAAGGGAGTAATACTAGGATGTAGTACTGATCTGCCGCATATGTGTTTCATGCGTTGGTTCTGCACACACCGAGAATGTAATCATAATAATACCTCAACTGACCCCCTTTTGTCGTTTCTTCTGAGACCTCTGGATTGGAAGATTTCTGTCCAGTATTCTCAAGGCCCCCATTTATCTTCACATCAAATTGTTCACCAGATGGCTGTTGTAACTGATCACTACCTTGAATAGTTTGCCTGACATTTGCTTTATCAGAATTTTAATCACTTTTGAGGTTTCCATTCAACTTCGTTGATTTCTGATCTCTCTTGGAATCATTCAAATTTTCTATCTTTCTGCGTCCGGGTTCCTCATCCATCTTTCCATCTGCAGGCAGCACATCAATTTCTTCATATGTGAGTCTTCTTTGCTTTTTAGAATCCTTCTTCTTCTTGCCTGTCACATCTTCATTTGACGTCTCGAAACTATCCTTGTTAGAATCAGTTTCATTGTGATCTCCAGTCTGAAGCCCCTCTATATTCCCAGCACTGCTTGATTTGTCTTTCCTTTTCTTTTTATCCTTGAATCGCTTCCCTGTCTCACCAATGACAGTTTTGGCATTTGTAGATGCATTGTCCCTTAATTTGACTGTCGTCACTGTAGGTAGTGATTCAAATTGGCTATCATTCCTATCACTGCTTGATTTATCTTTCTTTTTCTTTTTATCCTTGGATTGCTCCTCCGTCTCATAAATGACAGTTTCGGCAACTGCAGATGCATTCACTCCGACAGAAAGAGATTCAGAAGCTGACTTGCTATTCTTTTTCTTCTTTACTTTGCACTTTTTATCATCATCCTGCAACAAGGATCCACAAAGTGTCTTGTTAGCAAGCTCCTTTGTCTTCAGATGTTGCTTTTGATTCAGGGCCCAAGCCATTTTCTCAGCTCCTTTACCAGAAAGAATCAGAATTTAGATTTCTATACCTTCTCTTCTGATGTTAATTTTGATTCAGGGCCTAAGCCATTTGTCAATTCCTCAGAGTTGTTTCCACTGCTAGAACTTTCATGAGTTCCCGATTGATGAGCACCAGCATCATCGTCACTCTAGTCAGTTTTCTTTTTCTTACTTTCATTTTCCAAATCAGCTATCAAAATCCTCTTCATCTTTCTTGGAGTGCTTGCCTGCAGCTAGAAAGTAGAAGGTCCGGTATAATGATCTAATTAACTGTGTCTAGGAAGCAACAGAATGATGATTGCATGCCAAGCAATGAGAGAGGAAGAAATTGGCTATGACACAACACGACCCGATATATTCATGGATTTTAAGCATATCTTGCTCCTTTTGATTATTGTTATTTTCCTTGACATCCTTGCTACCAAAAGGAGAAAGAAAAAAATTGGGAAACAAAAAGGGAAGGCTCAATTAACGGATATTTAAATCACAAATAAAACTTTAAAATCAGTAACAAATATCAGATTTAAAGAGACCAAATGGTGCGAAAGCAATTGGAAAAGAGAAATAGGAACCTCCTAGAACTGATAGGCACATAGAAGCTGTAGGCAAATCATCAATGAGAGTAACTAGAACTCTCAGGCTGATTATATCCTTCAAGTTTTCACCATCACTGGGGAAAAACTGATTAAGTAATCTAAAAGTCACATATGGCTTCTCCATCAATCAACAATTATATGGGTTTAATTCCGGATATATAGAGGCTCGCTACACTGACTAGAGCATGAAAGTCAAATCATGGGATAAACAATAAGTTTGCAGTTACTAGGTTAATCACGACTCCTTTTGAATAAAAGTACAGTGAGACAAGTAACTGTATTTCATAATTTACTCCCATTTCGATCATCAATGTTAAAATAATCATAAACGTCATAACTACTAAGCCTGCACATGGAGTAAGTTGATACAGAGCAATTAAGATAATCAAACCGCAATTTAGGCTCCATTGATATTAAAAAAAACAGAACAAAATAATGGAAAAACTTTTCTTACAAATTAGTGGCACATATTATCTAATTTTCTGGTTTTTAATTCTCTCCGGTCAAATAAATTTGACAATTAAAAAAGAAGAAATAATTTCATTAGCCAACAAGCCTAAAGGAAATGATATTTCAACTTATATTCTTTTAAAGAAAACTTTTAAATATGTTTTCTCACTTGAGTAATCTTTGCAAGGATCAGTCAGTATTTTTTTTTTTTTTTTGGAATTACAAACGGAGGCAAGAGCCTACAACAACAACAACAACAACAAGCCTTTATCCCACAGGTGGGGTCGGCTACATGGATTGCAAGATGCCATTGTGCTCTATCATTTATTAAGCTTTTAGAAATATTATTAATTAAGAGATCACGTTCAACAACTTCCAAGAGTGTTCTCTTAGGCCTTCCTCTACCTCTCTTAATCGGACTCAAAGTTTTATGTTCCACTCTTCTCACTGGTGCCTCCCTTGATCTTCTTTGTACATGCCCAACCATCTCAACCGATTTTCTACATTTTCTCAATAGGTGCCACCCTCACTTTTTCACGTATGTGCTCATTTCGAATTTTATCTTTACGTGTATGTCTGCACATCCATCGTAACATTCTCATCTCTGCTACTCCAACTTATGCTCTTGCTGTCCCGTTCGAGCCCAGCATTCATGATCAGTGAGCATTCCATCCTTATCTGATTCCACTAAGATAAACGATGCTATCAATTGGATAAATCTGTGTGTTGTGATTACTCTGGTACCCTAAATAAAGTTGCCCATCTATCTTCCCAAAAATAAGGAGCAATTGAGACCTAAGTCAACCAAGAGCTTTGCAGAAGAATTTACATCAGGGTATTCATAGGCCCACTATGCGTGCCACTACCGTGTACTGGTGGACATTACTTACATGAAACAAGCCTACTTGGATATAATAATTTTTAAACTAGTTTGTGAAAGCCACAACAAATAGGAAAAACTTTGGGAAAACGATTACAGGCACACAGAAAAAATTGGCAAGGCATCGAGTAATATCTATAACTAGGGAATATCAAGTTGGAGCAGATGGTTACTTAACAAACAAATGCTAACTTTCTTCTCCTACCGTAGTTTAAATAGTTGAAACACAATTTCTTCTGGATCAACTATTGTTCCATCTAGATTATCTTTCTGTACCACAAGTAGGAGAAACAAAATAAGATGACAGAAGCAACAACATACAAGAACCAAGCTTTTTACCTCTGAATAATAAGGGGCGAAACATAAATAAAAGAAAACTAAACACACCATTCTAGATTGCTAACCTAAATGAGACAAGGCGCTATATGCTCTTATATGCCATGCATAAAATCTCATTACTACCAAAGACTCAGAGTAAGATGCTTGCCTTCATAAGTTCATGTTTACTTCAGAAATTTAAAACGAGCCCATGGAGCATAGCGTAGATCATCACCCCTTTGTTTTGCTTTAAAAACACCCCAAGAATGTTCATATTGGTAATATTATGAATGACGAGTGATGATTATAAGAACTGCTATGCTATAAATGTGAATGTACCGAGCCTTCCACTCAAATGTTCGACCAGCAGATTTTTAAAGTTAAGTGGTATGATATGAAAACAAGCATGAAACAGTGAAAAATTGTGTCATCATCCATGACCGGCAAAACTTGGTTGATCCAAAGTAGTGTCTCGATTACTCAACCAAGCGAATGATTTCAGTAGAAAATCAAACAAAATACCAAGAGACAAACAGAATGGCGATCCAATAAACCTACCGAACATTTTAAACATGATCGTCTTTCAAATTGTATTGTTATCTTAGATATATCTGAGCATGTTAGACCAAATAATATATCTTGAGTATGTAATGCAGGGTAGCAGCTGAGTTATGCATGATATCAGCATATACTGCAGCTATAGAACAGTGAATATCAATTCAAGAGCTCCTATGTTTTACGTCCTTCCTTATTTTTCTTGTATGATTACTGAACACCCCAAATGCCACCTTTTAGTCCGCTCTATTATACAATCGAAAATTAAACTTTACGAAGCATCTGTTCAACTCAGCCAGTTCTTCCGACATTCACAACGAGAGGGGCAAAACCCGCCTCGATTGCTCTTCGGAACGAAATTTTCAGGGTCTTGAAAACCCATAGAGATACAAATAATGAGCTATAGAGTGGTGAAGAAGACCCTCTGTTCCAATTCAACGAAATGTTTCCGTTGGATAGGTCACTGCCATAACTCCTATGCTTCTATGCCTCATTGTTTTGATCATCAAC